TTTAAAATTATACTATAAAGTTATTTTAATTATTTAAAATATAACTGTAATAATTATAAATGTTTTATATTTTTGAGAGTACAAATATTTATTTTAACTAAATTTATGTTTGACTAAATTCAAGGGTGAGCTAACATACAAAAGATCATTTATAAAGCATGCGTAAGCTTATTACTATACATGATCCATTTGAAACAATAATCATATCATAATCATACTGGATTCCACCATCCAAATGAAGTATTGATGTGAAATCTCGGGGAATCATGCACTTATGGTCACCTCCACTCCTTTTACAAAGTCATTGTCAATGCAATACACCATGTCATCCACAATGTTAACTCGTTAACGTCTATGATCAAAGCAAGACCCATAAACTAAGATCTCCTGCTCCTGTCATCACATACTTCATCATTCTCTACTTAAGACTTGAGACTTGATAGTTATTAGAATGTCAGGATAATCTTCAACGTCAGGGCTCCTACATCAACATGTACACTAATGAATTACCACCAACGAAACTCTCCACAAGATCCCTTGCAAAACTCATACAATAAAATGCATTCATCATAGATTCTCGTACAATTTTCTTAAGTATATTTCACAACAACTTAACAACATTTGTATGAACTATTCAAAACTTTAGAAAAATAATTGCAGCTTCCACAAAACTCAAAAATGCATGTTTTTGCATTCAAATTAAATTTAATTGAATGAGTAACATAGTGCAAAAAGAATCAACTCAATTGGATAATTGTGGAAAACGTTATGCACCATACAAACAACAAAGGTCAAAGTTATCAACAACCTAAACTACTGGAATATTATATAAAATATTATTTTAACTACATACCTCTAATTACAAATCTGACCAGTCAAAGTAAATAACGATATATCTAGAACCCACTATAAAAATTTCAACTTGATCTAACCGTTAATGGAGTAGGATTCTTAATTTCATTAAGATGACTTAGAAACATAACAAAGATGGTGATCAGCTTCCACAAAAATGTGAAACTAATTTTTCTAAACACAGGCATCCATTTAATAATCTGAGCGATCAAAGTGAATCAATATATCTTAAAAACTATATATAAAAAATTTCATGTTAATCTAACGGTTAACAAAGTGACAATTGAGGTGTTACAAAGACAACTTAAAAACATATAAATAAAGTGGTAATCAGCTCCCTAAAATGTGCAAAATTAATCTATCTTGGGAACCATATATTAAAATTTAGGTTAATCAACACGGACATCCAACTAATAATCTGAGTTTCAAAGTTAATTAACATGTTTTGGAAACTATATATTAAAAATTTAGGTTAATCTAATAGCAAATGAGGTAGGAATTAAGGTTTTAACAAAATAACTCAGAAAATAAAAGATAAGTAAAGCATAGACAAGAAAATAAAAACTCCACAAGTGGACATGATAACTCTCCTACTAAAGTCCAACATGTTCATATCTCATATATTCATATTCTTCTTCTAAAACATACAATTATCATGTACAAAGAAAACAATTAGCTACTCCTACCTCTTTTCGAATACTTTCTTCAATTTCCAAGATAAACTAAAGCTCTCCTTCGGATCTTTTTTCCTGTTCTTTTCCTGTACCAAGTATAGTCTATCTAAGAAGACTCCTTCTCCAAAACTCACGTTACCTCATTCTCCGCAAAACTTACGTTGATGCCTCTTCATTTATAGATAGAATTCCATTTGTATTTAATTTTCCTGATCCCAATTTTTCTCATTTTATGCATGAATTTCTAGAAAGACAACCCATCAAACCATAATTTTCTATAAGAGGTCTAGAAAATGTGATGTTGATCCCCAAGGTGTTCTCCATTTCTTGGGTCTTACAAATAATGTTTTTGAATCTTTAAATATTGTCATTTTAAATATATTTTAATAATGTATCAAAATGCATTTCTATATTTTGTATTACACAAATTTAAAATACATTTAGATTATAAATATATTTCTAGTTTATGTGATTACAAATAAATGTTTTAGTTATACAATTTAAAATATTATTGATCTATTAAAATGTAAAACCCCAAAAAAGGGTATTTTTAGAAGTGATGGTGGTCTAAAAATAATGAGACTCGATTATTTTAATATTAAACGATTTTATTATAAATAATTTTGTTATAAACAAGTTTCATTATTTTAAAATATACCATCTCTCTAGAAACCATTTTCTAGAGTTCTCTTCCTTCTCTCTAAGAGTTTTAACTCTCGTGTCATCTCTTTGACAATCAAGAGGTGTCTAGACTATCATGACGTCAAGGTCTATAAATCTAACCGATTAATTTTTGTTTTAGAGTAAGTAAGTTTCTACTCGTTTTTCTTTTCTTTTTGCTTCGGTCAATGATCATGCACAGAACTGTTATGCATGTATCATTTAGTTATCTTTTCTTGCTCTTGGTGAATTTAGAGTTCTAAGAACTCTGTCCGTTTCAATTTCGGTGCCTCGTAGGTCCGTTTAGGAATTTCTTACGTTTCAAGCGACCGGCGGGACACTTATGTGGGTTGAGCTATTATTTTGAGGTAAGGGAAGCTAAACCTTATCTTAATTGTGTGTTTAGAGTAAATTTAGTAATTCTATAAATTTTAGACGTTTTAGTAAAAATTGACGTGTTTAGGTAAATTTGACGTATGTTAAATTGGTGTTTTGTTGATATGGTGTTATTGTAGTTGGTACGATGATATGATTGTTGTTGTATACTGTTTTCAATGTGCGTGATAAGGATATTTTATCGTTTGAAACAAAATTCAAGTGGTTGTGAGAGTATTAATCAAGTTACTTATATTTTTAGCTTAAAAGAAGGGGTTTTGGGTAGTGAATTTAGAAATAAGTATGAGAATGTTATGAGAATTGTTTTGGTACTGTCATGAGGTAATTTGAAACTTGCTAGGAGGGTTAGATGGTTAAAAACTGTGTGAATTTAAAAGAGTGGTATAGAGGGATTGTTTTCAAGTGTTTTTGGTGTAAAAAGAGGGTGTTGAGTAGTGAAATGTTAAGATAAGTGTGATGCACTGTTTTGGAAGGTTAGAGATATGTTATCACACTTATTAGGACTTTTCTAAGTGCTTAAATGAGTAAAATCTGTTAGGAAATGGTAAATGATTTCATAGGTTGAGATTTTAGCCCATTTTAGAAGCTTTCTGGGGTGAAAATGAGAAGTAATGTAATTGGGACAAATATGAGGTTTTAGAGAGTGCTAACAAGTATATTTTGACTGGTTTATGCGGGTTATAAATTGATTGGGAAGTTTAAAGGTGTAAAATTGAAATTGGGTAGCTTGTAGGAGTGAAAAGTGTGTTTTCAAGTGTCAAATTGAGGGACAACAGAGTTCTCTAAGTTTTTTCAAGTTATGGAGGGTCCTAGAGGTCTTTAGAACTTGAGGGTAGGGTCTCTAAGGTCCAATTCGAAGTGATTTTGCTACTATCATGGCGCTGGGCGCCACTTGGCAACTCTGCAACATTTTTAGGGAGTTTTCAGGGTTCTTGATGTACGTTTTGGACGTTCTTTATATCGTTTTGGGGGTTTTGGACCCTTCCGGAGCTGTTGGTGATGGTTTCAGAGCTGTTTTCCTTTCCTAAATATGAGTATCATTATGCCATGAATAAATTGTGTTATTGAGTGATTTCTGATGACTTGTAATTATTTTTCTATTTCTTTAATGCATGATCAATAGTCTCAAGTATTGGTGTACTATGTGAATATGAATTAATATCAATGGTTTCAAAGGTGTGAAAGAGAGTTCCAAGGAGAAACTTCTTAGTGGTGGTTTTAAGTATTGTAAGTATAAATATGGGAAGCTCAGTCTTGGAGTTCATCCTGACATTCTAATGGTTACTTATTCTCAAATAGAGAAGGATGAGGTATGTCGTGAGAATAGTAGGAGGTCCTAGTTTATGAGTTTTACCTTAACCTAAGGCGAGTGATTGAGATAAAAAAAGAAAAAAATCCTTAGAAAATAATGCAAAACGAAAGTATTGAGATAAAAAAATAAAAAATCCTTTTTTTTATCAACACATATTACAAACACACTAAACTGCCTCAACCATGCATCTCAACCTGTCCAGTCCGAAAAGACACCCATCCACCATTTTCCACCCTCTTCCTCACCATAGTCAGTCCATTCGAAATAGCAGTCCTAGTGTGGGTCCGCGACTACTCTCGATCTCCATCCATTCAACCCCAATCCACTGCATGTCCAGAGGATGTCAATCCGGAATTTCGAATGTAAAATTTTATATTCTGAATTTTCTAATTCACATTGTATAATATAAATTCTTAATGTCAATTTTATTTTAGATTTTATAATCCATAATGTAACATTTCAACAGGTATAATTAGAATTTTAGAAAGTATGGGTGCAGGAAGAAATTCACGTAAAAGAACCAGAAGGCCGTCTTCATTAGTTTTTCTTTGTAGAGTCTAAATTACTAAAAATATTTGAGAAAAAGAAAAAATTGAGTTATATTAAATTTTAAAGTTGAAAAGCGTACTTTTATTATTTAGTTCGTTTTTTTAAACATAACATTTTCAGAAAATACTTGACTAAACATTTCACAGCAATATTATATATAAAACGTACAAATCTATTTTTCTCCACATTTAAAAAAATTATTGAAAAATAAACCATAACACTATTAAATCATTTTATTAAACAACGTACTAGCAATATAATTTTAATTGAAACAACACATTACTTCCCAAAAATCTACATAATGTTTTCAGCAAACATTCTTACCAACCAAACAATTTAATCATTTCTACGAATCTAGATTCTTAGGATTCATGATTTTGTAAACATGATCTTCTATCACAATATATTCTCTGATATAAGTAGCCAACAGCGTTTAGCATGCTCACATATAATTAAATGCTCAGGTTTCATCGAGTAAAGGAAAGGAAATTCATTTTTTGCAGTAATAAGTAAGCGTGAAAACAAGCTTTGCTAAAATTTGACCAAAATCCAAAATATTAAACTGAATCAATTGGACTTTTTTCAAAAACCATTTACTAAAATCAATAATGTTTACTCAATGTAGATTACAATTTGCGCGTATTTCAACACCAGCACTCTCCAAATTCCAACCTTGGCAGGGAAAAAGGAAAGACCAAAAAACCTATATATTTAAAGAGAACCAATGAGAAGGAAAGACGATGAAACCCACATCTAAATTCATGCACGCAGATATACAAAATACGCAACAATGACTTGACAACACCCATAATCCACAAATTGTTTTCTTCCCAATGAACACTAATCTTGAACGGTATCAATTGTTTTGCCTGTCCTGGCTTGTGAGATTCGATTAGCATAAATGGTGACCAACTTCAACTGTGTGCTGTTAAGCCCTTGCAAATACGGCAAGAATGCTTTCCCAAGCATGATATAAATATCCACAAGGCAGAAAACAACGGTCTGCAATGCAATCATCCGCCATTTACATAAAATGAGAATAACGAAACCGAATAATATATAAAGGAACAACAAATACAGACAAAAAATACAATTATTAGTGGTAAATGATACCCCAACCCTCACATTCAAAGAAAATATTTTATAGATCATAGAACCAGTCAAACTTTCTTTCAACCAAGTCAACTTGGCACTCTTTTATAATGTGTTCTTAGTTAATCACATAAAATTAATGTTTAAACCTTATAAAGAATTAAGAGAACAGACAACTAACTAACCTACGTATGCCGCTTTACAGCGTCTTTTAACTTAGAAGTTTTTTACCATATGAAAATTTTGAAGATGTAAGAAGTTATGGAACAAAATTACTCCAGATAAAAGACCTCAAGTACCTTACGAACATCTGCACTCTGGTTACCAAAGGCTTCAAAAAGAGCGGGCAGAAACGAGGGTAACTGAGCCATCAGTTCCTCCTGAGAAAGCCGCCCTACAAGCTGAACAAAAGCAATAGTACGATGTTAATTGTTAAACAAGATAAATATTTATAAAGCATTAACAGTTTATCCATAAAAATGAACCACTTCCTATGAACCAATGGTATGATATGGTGCAGGTACGTACGATAGTCATAAACACAAGGATACAGTGAAATTCATAAAAACAAGGGGTATGATACAAATAGAATACATTCAAGAGAAAAAGATAAAGGAAAAAGAAATGTTCCAATGTGAAGAATGCAATAACGTATGGTCCTATGAAGTAGCAGTCAATGGGCAAAAGAGTAACCAAGGGATACAGGATAATCTCCGGGATATGTTTTAGGGTCTCGTTAAGTGCCCTAAACACACTAGTTGAGGAGAATTTAATAACCCCCTATTAAATTCTCTTACGAAAAAAAGTAAATGCTTAAATGGCTTTGGTATTTTTATTTTTAATTTAATAACTACTTTGTTTTTTTAATAAATACATAGTTTTGCTACCTTAACAAGTGGCCTAAGTACACTAGTTAGCATTTACATTATATTTTAAAGGTACAAGAACCAAATAAGACAATACGGACACAAATACTCCTTCCATTTTAAATATCATCGATTCGTACTTCTTTCAAGATAACCAAAAAAGTTTATTCAAAAGACACACTTACCTTTGTTAAGCAATTTATGCAAATGACAAGTGTTTTCTCATCCTCAGTAACCAGCAGAGGGACAATGACCTGAAATGGTTTAAATTCAGAGCATTAGCTTCTAAAATTAGTCAAACCTCATTCCCTTTCTCAAACATTTAAGAGTAAAGAGGGCACAAAGTAGAAAATCAAGAAATACATACACTTAAACATCGGAATGGATCATACTGAGATAAAACAATGGTCAAGCAGTGCTCTGCTTCATTGGAGACCTAAATATTGAATGGGAAGAAGCTGAGAGTAGGGAAAGAAAGCAAATGCAGAAAAGACAGTAAAATTGACCAACTTTTGCTACCTTAGGAATGATATCTTTAGTAACGTGAAGCAGCTTCTCAATTACAATCTCAACAGAATTCTCCATGTCGCCTTTCTGAACAATAATAGTACAAGGTAAATTTTAAAATCAGAAAAATCATGTTTTATTAAATTTAGGTCTCAATAATGCCCCGCCTATATATATACAACTGACATGATAGACGAGATCAATAGCATAATCCCCAAATTAAAATGAGATAAAAGGAGTAGGAACCTGATTTTTAAGCATCTCAACTATCAGTGAAAGAGCAAGCTCCTTGACCGAGGAATCTGAATCATCCAGTACCTCAAGCACAACTGTCAAAATCTGATTGAAGTACTGCAAGTACACCATGAAAAGGTCATTACATAGAGAGAAGGGGGACAAAAACCTCTACAACAAGTAACGTACATTGTTATTTAACAAAATTGGATAAATTGTAATTATCTAACAAACAGAATTTACATAATTAATAATTGATTGCGCATCAACCACAATGAAAACTACCCAAATGATCAAGCAAAAATATTTCCTCACTAGATGAAGGGGGCATATACATACATACATACATATATATACACACACACACACATATATATATATATGCAGGGTTTAGATTCAGGGTTAAGGGTTTCTTTTATTTATTGAAGTTTTTAAGATTAATTTAAGAGTTATTAGTGTAGAAAATAAGCTTCCATTGTTTCTGTAAGCTTATGCGTTTTGCTTGATATCAAGAACTGTAACAGACAGTAACTACTTGGTAATAACAGACTGTCGGCCTGGCAATATCATACTGAACTAGTGATTAATTCAGAGCTTGTTAGTCGAATCATATAGTATCACGTTAGTGTTAAAACAAATCATAAGTACTTCTTTTTCGATATTTTATCTATGTTTCCCCTGTTTATCTCACTTTATATGACTGACACCCATATAACTAGGGAACAGAAAAAAAAAAAAACTTAATCAAATCAAGCATACCTTGGTCCAAATAGAATGATCATTTGATATAGAAGCATCAACTAATTGTTGAAGTGCAGTTCGTTTACTTGAAACAGGGCTTCCATCACCCCCACTGCATACCTACAAAAACAACATTTATACGTATAAAGTGATATATTATAAAGATATACTTCTATTAGGTAAACCTAAATACCATGATCCCCTAGAAGGAAATGAACCAAGTAAAGATGTCACTCATTTGTCTTTAAAATGTAATATAACAGGAAATTCACAATAAGCTCATCACCGATTGTCAAGAATAGTCATTATTCCTATAGTTTTCTGATGCATTTTTTTGTTCTAGGAGTATGCTTTTTATCACCTATTTTTTTTCCACTATCCTCTTCTCTTTCTAACAAATCCCATTCTTTTCTAAGCAAAAAACTTAAAAAACCAACTCATCCGTACTAGTTGCATCACTCACCATATGAAGAATTTGAGGAATGCTTGGTCCTGTTTCTGTTATGGAGTTAATCTTTACATCTTCGGCTGTGTGATGATTAAGTGCCAATTCAGAAGAATGTTCTTTGTCATTTACATAGCCTTACGCAACATTTAAATGCTCAGATAACATCAAACCATTTACATTTAGACGAGGAGACCATCCAAGTTTATGCTACTGTCCACATTTCTATGTTGGCTAGATTGAGAGGCAAGGTTTTGACCCATTGGATTGACTGCATACGCAAGATCTTTAGTTTTTGAAGCAAGACTACCAGTATTAGGATCAGTTTCAAAATTTTGATACAGATGTTCCTGAGTTTCACCAGATGATGCTTGACCAAGACTAGCTTTCACTAGTATTGAATCATGGGAACTCCATTTCCTGCCACCATCACCATCAAGGGATCCAGCAGAATACCTTCCAAGGTAATGAGCCTTCCTAGAGTAACCAACATATCCATCATCAGAGGATGTTCCCACCACATCAGATGAATCATAGGAAGACTTAGAACGTTGTCTTTCTTTCTTGTTCTGCAGATAGTTTATTAGGTCTACTTCAATGCGAGGGGTATATTGTTTTAAAGCTCGTCTCAAAGAATTTTGTTCTTCAACTGACAAACTCAAAATGAAATTAAGAACAACAATAGAATCAAAGTGTGAATACACTGATATAATGCATGTAATGGCTGCTTCTTTAAGCTTTGTATTTTTGTCATGAACCAAAAGGGTTAACTTAGAAAGCCATAATTTTAGGATGCCAATATTAGCAGCACCTTCTGGAATCATAGCATGTTTGTTAAAGGAATTGATTGCAAATTCAATAACAGCCAATTTAGCCTTTGGAGACCTCTGTTCATCTAGCGAGCGTAATAATGCCGGTAAAAGAGAATCTATACTGTAAGTTTTGCTCACAACTTCCAAAGTTGTTGAACATGGCTGCCGCACAAGTTCTTTAGGATCGATTAACCGAGAAAACACATGGGGTAATATTCTCTCCATGTAACCTTCAAAAGGCTTTCTGCATGCTGGAACAATATCTGCAAGTGTTGAAAGAGCAGCTTGTGCAACTTTATGATGGGGATCATCCAAGTGCTGGAAAAACAACTTCATTACCTTCTCAAAATTCTGAACAACTTCAATAACTCCCTTTGGCCCTTGCTGCAACAAAGAATGAAGATAATTAAAGGCAGCAACCCTAGCAGACCAGTCAGAACCTGAACTAAGTCCTTCACTCAAAGCTTCGTGAAGAGATGAGGGTCCTTCTGCATAATTTGGCATCTCTCCAAGCGATAGCTGATTATCATCAAAACTCCTCCTCCTGCCAGCAGACATGCGTCCAGCCACATTCTTTCTCAAAAGAGGTCTCTGGAAATTAGGAACATAACTATTATGTGATTCCCTAAAGTTCCCATCTCTATAAGGGGCATCCAAATACTGCTTATCGTGGTTGGGTTTTATATATCTCCTAGTCTCCCTAATATCACTGTTATCATCAAGTGAACTTCTTTCTTGTAATCTGTCAGAGGCCCTTTTACTCGAATATGATGATATTGATGATAAAGGTTCAATACCAACATTGCTATGATAGGACAACTTGGCAGAATCCTTTGAAGCTTGAATCTGGGTGATTATGTCAGACAAACCAAGACCACCATTTCGGTTACTACCTTTATTGATGCCAGAAGTAGTTGATTCTGTTGTTAAAGAGCTTGTCAGATGATTAGCTGCGGAGACAGCAGCAGGGAAAGGTGGATCACGAGATGATGGAGGGTCAACTCCTGCACTAGGGGCAATAAAAGAAAAATTTACCGCTCAGATAGTTTAAAACATCAACCTTTGAATGACATCTCGTCCTGTAAATTGAGGTAAATAAAAGCATTTGACAGGAAAAGTTATGTGGTACCTAGATCCAAACTCGATGACCGGAAAGATGAATTATGCTTATCAGACAAATCCAAGCCTCTAAGCATGCTTTCAATAGCAGAAACCTTCTGCTTGCTTGCATGTAACATGCTCTCCAAACTACGTTCTGTACCCTTACCAAGTGACTTAGCTTGTGATAGAAGTATACCAGAGGAGATAGATGTCCCTGATGATATACTTGAACTTCTATCCATCGCAACAATAGCAGAAGTTCCATAACCAGGTAGATTAGAGGGAGCCGAGGTCTGACTAGCCAATGACGTCAGTGCCCCTCTATCTCGAATGGAAGGTGAAGCATGTCGCCGATGTATTCCTCCATCCTCTTCATTTATTAACTGCAGTTTACATTCACGTTAAAAGATGACTTGAACAACAAAAATAAATACCATTCACAAGATCACAAGTGTACCCTTTGAATGGCAGGGTCAAAGGATGCAAATAAACGACGCGATCGCTCTGGCCAAGTTTTTGCAAACATTCTGTAGCACATCCTTGCAGTAGATCGAACCTATCAATTTTCATATGAAATAATTTTCAAGTTCATAGATCTTCAAGAATCAATGACAATACTAATACGTTTGTCCTAAATCAGTCAAAAAAGATAAATAAAAAGGTTTGCCAGAAAAAAAAAAAGTAAATGAGCATATTCAGCATAAATTCTAATACACAAGGTTTGAGAATCTTAATAATTCCTTACCATACAAAAACACTTTGTAATTATGACTACTAATTTATCTTTATGCATTTAAAACGGAACTTTCACCAAACGAGAACCTTTTACACTCTCCACAACTCCAACACAACTATCAAGGTGATAAAATTTCCCGCTGGCTCAGAAAGAAGAGATGCCGGATGGGAAAGCTATTTAAAGTTTACAAATTTGACAGTATATTTAACACATCAAAATTAAAAAGCTACCTCACTCATTGCATCTGAAACACAACACTTTATCATATCCTCATATAAATCGGCGGATCGATGTATTTCTGGTGCATCAGGCCAATGTTCCAGGACCAAAAGAGCATATTCACAACACCTACATACAAGCACATATCTCAGGTGGCATTAATAAAAGACCAAAACCCTTGACTGTCTTTTAAGTAGTTGAGAATATATACCTTGCACGAAGTACAGCATTGCGATCATTTTTTGCACAATCAGCTATACGGGGAAGAACCCGAGAAACTTTGCAGTTGCGCAACATCTGCAAAGTAGAAAACAAAGGTGAAAATGATACATAGCTAGAAGATGTAGACAATTAAATGAGCATATTATATTACCGTTTTTATGCAGTTATCTGCAGACTCTGCAATTACAAGCACAGTGATCACAACCAGCTTGAAAAGGACCTGAGTTATCAGATCAAGAATTAATAATTTCAAAATCATCAAAATTGTGATAAATCCAGCATAACTAGGCCAACTTACTGGTATAAACATTTCGGCACATGCTTCAAAATCACCCAAGAGATCCTTTGACAAAAAGCACAATAGATGGCAGGCCTAGAAGAAATCAAACAACAAACCAAAAACTGGAGGATATAAGAACCTAAGTTATGGTCAAGGTCTTTGAATGTAACTATAATGAGACAAAAACAACAAATATAAGGGAAGGAATTCATCAAAAATAAAGGATTGCTTCAAGAGAGATCCAATCTCTTAACTTCCAAAAACAGCCCCTTGAGACAATTTTTTGTTTTACAAATTAATAAAGGAGAATATACAAGAATAAAAATTTTAGAGTACCTGCTTCACAATGCTAGATCTTCGGTCTGACAATTGTGTGTTTAAAGGTCCAACAAGTTGCTTCAAGAGCCCACGAAAACATGGATAATCAGTAGCACCTGATGAAGAAAGCACTCAATGTATTCAACAGTCGAGCCACACAGGAAAGGAAATTGTATTACATTTAATTTAATAGCCAAATGAAAATTACAATTAACCAAACATAAAAACAATTTATCCTTAAACAATAGGCAAAATAAAATATTACAATAAGAAAAACAACACAGATAATTCAAATAAGGTATGCGGCCTTTCATACAAAGTCCCTTTTTATCTCTAAAATCTACACAAAAATCTTCTCATTATATAAATACACCACACCTAACTCCAAAGCCTTTAATTTGGTGTAAAATTGACAAGAGAATATTCATGCCAAAGATTTTGGAACATTACAAATATTGTCTTTAATTTTAAAATATACTACAGTTAAATCTCTCTAGTATAGTAACAACAATTATTTTCAAATTGTTATCATAAAAATTTAGTCAAACGAATTATTCATAGATAAAACTGAAAAAAAAAGGATTTTTTATTATTATTTCTATAAAATGATTTAAAAATAGTTTTATTCTATCTTATTACTGATTCATGCTAGTAGGCTTTTGATACAATCATTACCTCAACATGTTTAAAAAAAATTATTGTTATTTAATATTTGAAATTATAATTTTTATTATTTATTCTTTTGCACAGTGAAAATATCATCATAAAATTTATCATCTGAGTAATTAATAATTTCAAACTTTTACTATCATACAAAGATTTAGTGAAAATGTAATCATTAAGTAGAATAGGTTTCTGTAACGCTTTAAGAAATGGTAATGAGTCAAATATGTAAATGCAGTATATCCATAAACACACAGGTACACACATATACATACATACATACATACACACATATACATACATACATACACACATACACATACATACATACATACATACACACACACACACACATATATATATATATATATATATATATATATATATATAACTTACACCCAAAAAAATTGTTTTTGCTGTAACATTTATAAATTCATAAAATAGAAGGGATTTTGTGCAAGTTTTAGAAATAGAAATAATTAACTAAGTATGTAGAGCAAGAAAAGGTTGGAGTAATTTACTCTCCAAATAAATAATACACCACAGTAAAAATTTTGGTCCAGACCATTTACTTTATGCTTACTAAGAAGAAAAAGGTGAAATAAATTTACCCATAAGATAAACTGGTTTATGCATATATTTAAAATCTAATTTTGGATAAGCTAGATAAGAGAGGTTTTACAAATTACCTTGTGCAAATACTGGTTTTGGCTTATGGAGAAATTCATTCCATCTTTTCTTTTCTAGTTTCTTCCCCTACAAATGTTTATGGATAGAAGTTCATCCAAACAGACCTTAAGTCACCCCAATCCCACAATTTTGCGGAACTACGATTCTAAACACTATACATGGTTGACTGGCATCTCTCAACTGCTGCAGCTAATAGTCCAATCAGTATTAACTTTCCTTTTTATTGTTTGATAAAAATACAGCCGTTGTTTATCCTATAATGTCTTACCTCAGCTAACTATGACTTTTGTGTTGAATAAAAATCAACATATAAAATCCAATAACATATTCATAAAAGATTTCCACAAACTTCCTTCATGATAGTCTACAACATTTTAGACTTAAAATAGCAAAGAAGCTCTTAATATTGCACTATAAGCACAAATATTTCTGAACAGGAATTTGGAACCACCTACCTCCTATAACAAGACCTTCAACTCTCTGCATAGCAGCAATTCGAATTGACCAGTCTTTTTCAGGCACAAGAGTAGATGCAATCTTCTCAATTTCCCTGGTTAACTCCTTATCTGAATATACCTTCACAGGGTCTATGGGTTTCTCAGTGATGTCACCTTCCCCTGCTCATGTTTCAACAAACAAAACGTAGGTTTAAACAATCAATATTATATCAAACTATACAGTGTGTTACCAATATGTTATACAGAATACTACAAAAAATTACAATTTTAAAACATGCAATGCTACTTATCTCTTTGAATCAAATTATTTTATCTTCCTTCAACCATTTTGCCTCCCCTATCAAAATCAATCAATTTTTCCACAATTTGCACTTGCATCTCAAGTAAATTTTATCATTGACGAAATGCAGAAGAAAATATCCCCCAAAAGACAATGAAAAGCATATCCAAGGACCAAAATGTAATTTAAGTTAGAATCCCGAACACCAAGTAGGTTTAACTTCTGGAATTACCCAAGGATACACATTAGCTACAATGTCGAAAAATCTGAATATAAGATTGACATACAAAAAAAAGCATAATCACAATTAGTGGTAACTGATAGTATTTCTTATAATTAAAAGCTAGAAGTCCTAACACTGATACAAAAGCTTGGCTAACAAATATAAACTCAATCTAAAAAAGGTGGTGTCAAAGATAAACACGCCCATACATACTCCATGGTGTCCATGACTCCACACTACTTAACAATTCAAAGCAAGTTTCAACACAGCCACAACTATGCATCTTAAATTAGAAAATTATAAGAAAAAATAGACAATTATAGCGCCAGTATGAGAAAGAAATCATAAGATAAGATATAAAGCACAACTCCATGTATACAATTGCATCAATGCTAAACAAAAATAGAAACATTTATGACTGAAGAATTACAAAGGTACTAACCTCCGAAAAGAGAGCTCTCCCTGGAGGAACTTTTAGCCTTTGGACTACTTTTCTTGGGATTAACACTCAAATGCTTAATTTCCCCAGTAATATATCCACCTGGAATACCATCTGAAGAGCGAACTTTTGGCTGGATTCCTTCAAGCCTGGCATTAATATCTTTCACCTGAAATCAACATTATGAGGTGCAAATTCATTAGCTTAAAAGTGTTATAGATACATAAACACAAAACCACACATATTAAATAACAATGAATTAGGAAAGTGATTTCTGCTTATAATTACCAAAGATGAAGGAAGATTGTGACGATGAAGTTCATCACGAAATTGAGGCCCAGCTTGTGTATACATTTCCTGCAAAAGGATAATGTCAAAGAAATCTACTAACAACAACATTCATATTATCTTAAACCCATAATCAATATCCCCTGGTATGACTTACAAATACATTGATAAATAACCTTTGTTAATGGCATCAAGATATTAATTAATGAAACTGTTCAATAACCATTGTGATTAACTTAACCCAGTTATCTCAAATTTAGAGCCATGAAATTCACAAGCCTCCCGCATTTAAATATAACATCAAATCATGTCCTCTTTAGACAATAAACCTACTTCCATTTTCATATTCGTCAATATTTGTCATTCTTTGTTCCTTAAGTTAAAACAACATACAATATTAGTAATTTGTTATGTTTAGTTCAGAAATTTAGGAATTGAAATTAGGTATTGATATGGCATAAACCCCTTTTGTAGTAACTAACTTGGTAATGTAATTTGAGTCCTTTAGCCAATATACATTATACAATACTAAATGATTGTAAGATAAAGCATACTTACTTCAATGCACAAAATAGCTGCTTCCCTAACAGCAGGATTTGGATCGTTAAGCAAATGCAAAACCTGTCAACCATGCATGTTTTGGAAGGAATCAGCATTTCATCCCAAATATATTTAAATGTACGAATGATATGTACTGCTTATTTGTAAAAGTATATACAGGGGGAAGGATAGCCCGTTGAAGTGGGAGCTCAGTAGACGCAAATAAATTAATTGCAGCTGTGACAGTTCGCGTAAACTCCTCTCTAACTCTCCAGCTTTTATGTGCCCAAGCAAAGGATCCTGCCCTTTCAACAATTATAGTTGGAGAAGAAACCTGCAAATGGTAATCCAAAATAAATTCAAAATGTAGGGTACTCAAATAATATCACTTTGAAAGTTTCAATGATACATATTTACTTCACTTTTAGGCACATATAACATAAACACCCAAAACACATGTGTAAACATTATCCAATCAGAGTATGTTTGGATGGAATGAACTGGCCTGGAATGCAGTTAGCATCTTCCGTCGGTTATATACATTTCATGATGAAACAAAAAATAAATAAACTAGTTCTATCACATACTATATTCCGCAAATTGGAGGGACAGAAAAGAGTAGTATTGGATACAATGGAATGAAATACATTTCATCAGGTTCCATTTCCATTCCCAAACAATTTGAAAACTGGAGTCTAGCATCATGCCATGTTATTCCACCCGTTTCCACAAGTTCAAATATAGCCTTGGGTAAAGATACAGAACGAAAGTGTGAGAGAAATACTACACCTATAATAAGGTCATATAGATAAATAAATCCAATCACAAATTAGCATTGTGAAACTCCACTCATATGTAGTATTAAATCACAAGCTTGTGCCAACATTTACGTTATGAAATAAACCAAATGCAATCGATATCGCTTAGCAGTAATCTAATCGCTGAGAGCTAAAATAGTTTCCATCTTAAACTGTTCATGGATCACATCCATCCACGGGCCATTTAGAAAGGACGATGCACCTACAAAGCCTATGACTACACAATTATCAACTTAACAGATTGCATAAGTCAGTTACAATTAACTGCTAGCAGAGATAAATCTTATTTGACTCTCAAATGAGACAACCAGAAAAACTATATATTTTCACGGACATTGAGACTATCAGAAAAAGAAATTCCCGAGCCTGTTCTTCAGCAGAAACTAGTAGTAGACACTATGCCACATGTTTATTGACGACCCTCCGGAATGTAGGTTAATTAAAAAAACCAAACGACGCCATATTAATTCATTGGACTTGAAGACACCACAATTTAAAACACGGCATCTAAAAGGCTTTAGGTTCATGAGTTCATCTATCCTAATAACATACACGAGGATCCAATCACACCAGCAAGAGATCCTACGGCTAAGCCGTTAACTAAGACTAAAGATCTAGCTATATAACTCAGTTTTTCATTCTCCAGAATCATAACGGCGATCATGCAAAAGCGAAACAGTTACAATTCAGATTTCACTGCCGCACAGTTTCCGCTCGATACATCAAAGTCGCTCATTATTATCCTAATAATTCCTAATCGGCACCCTACCGTTACCAGTTAGTTACCACCACACTCGATCATTGTCTAGTCTAGTCAGCATCGAGTATCCAGGTATAATACCTCCATGAGAGTGAGCAAGAGGCGCCTGGCGGCGTCTCGAACAGGCTGTTTGGCGTCGCCGAGACGGTCGACGACGGCGGGGAGGAGTGCGTTGAAGTGAAGCTTGAAGTGGTCGCCGGACAGGACGGCGGCGGAGGCGAGCGCCTGCAGCGCGCCCTGCGAGACGCGGAAGTTATTGTCCTTCAAGAGATCCATACAAGTGTCGACGAGCGAAGTCACCTCGGAAGACGAGAGGCTCTTTCTGGAAGCTTCCAGAAGTTGGTGGAGGCGCTCCACGCCCGCCATCCTCTCCTTCGTGTCCTTAGCGCGTGACAGTTCCAGCGCTTCCTCCATTTCGATCCGCAACCAATCAGATCTGAAGAGCGAGCCAGTTAGTGAGTCACTCAGTGAGTGAATGAGTGAGTGACTGAGCGAACGGATGAGACTTCCACACCAATGAAGATGAAGAATCGGATGAGATGACTCGGCGGGACCGTATAATTTCTCAGAGAGAGAGAGACAGAGAGAGAGAGAGGCTGGATTGACGGAGAAGAAGAAGACGAAGGTTGAAGTTGAAATTGAAATGAAACGAAATGAAATGAAAACTTGCTTATGTGGTTGTGGGCGAGGTGGTTGAAATTTTAACCATCCTTTTGTTTACATTTCCGTTCTTTTAGAAAAAAAATAAATAATCCGACAATAATAATAAACAAAATCCAAACATATTTTAAATTATCCTTTTTCTCCGTGACCTAATTTCTAAACCATTACTGTTTATTAAATATTTATTTGATGATTCCGTTTGTATACACAGTCTTAGCTTTTTATGTCATGTTTGTATTTTAACTACGTAACGTGGCTCAATTTCTTTTTACAGTTTTCTTCAAAGCAATGTATAGCTTTTGGAAAAACTTAACTCACAAACAAGCACTTAAAATTTATACTTAAAAAATCTTTGATTTAATTTTCATAGTTTATTTTATTTCCTATAATTCTAAATTTTAGATAAAGAAAATAAAAATATGATTTTTTTTTCGTTTGGTTGTGCTTTAGGGCTGCTAAACCATATATAAATCACCCTTATGTGTTTGCTTATTTTAAAAGCTATTTTAGTTTAACTAGAGAATGAATTACCGCAAAAAATAAAATAGAAAAAAGTATCTGAGCATCAGCTGCTGCTGTTGTTGTTTTTAAACGCTGTTTGCTCAAGGCACCCTGAAAGGAACCACTTATATAAAAGACAGTATAAAGTTAAATGATTTTTGTAATGATAGTGATTGATTACAAGATTTTGATACAACGGAACCACACTGCATTATTGGTGTGTGTATGATCAGGTAATAAAGTTTAGAGCATTATAAAATATTACATAGTGAAGTCAGAAAATATGAAACTAAAATACAAAAGTAAATAAAAAATAGGATACAACACTTTTATAAACTCTTGTTGAAATTTGGCATAAGTTATGAGATGTAACGGCGAGGAGTGGGGTCGAAAATGAGTAGGTCAATGTAACAACCTTAAAAGAAAATGAGGTAAAAGGTGCAAAAATGGGTTGGAATTTGAAATGAGTCGATAAATTTTATATTTTTTTTTAAGGCAGTGGGTATTTATTTGTGGAAAATTTAAGTGCCGTAAATGGGGTTCTCCAATGGTATTTAAAGATATATTTAATAATGATACATTTAATGAGATGTATAGTACTAAAGGAAAAAGTTAAACGTAATTAAGTAAGACTTAGAACAGCACGATTTATTTATTTTTTGGGTATTGTAATGTAAGAATGGTGTTAAGTTTTCTAAAATTGGTAAACACAGATTGCTGTATATGTTTTGTTTCAAAGGCAGGGAGTCAACAGAAAAAAAATAAAATAAAAGATAAAGTAAGTGATGTGGTTTTTAAGATTCGGTATGTTTTAGTGTTTCAGAAACTGATGGAAGAGAGAGAAAAATACGGGTCTTGTTGGTATTTAGAATTTCATGCTAGGTTCGACAAAAATAAAAGTTAAGGATATTTAGGATCGGGTTAAAGGTTAAGAAGGCAAAGTACTAATTTTAGATTTTAAAAAACATCTAAAAAAAATTGATACTAATTTTTTTAAAATTAATTATAAAATTAGGTTTAAGGAAAAAAACTTCAAAAATTTGTTTTAGTATTTTTATTAAATTAATTTTAATGTTTGATAACGAAATTTAATTAAATTATTATCAGTATAACATAATTTTTGGTGATACTATAAATGATATTTAATGAACTAAAATTATTTTTTAATATAATTATAATAACTTAATAAATAATTTTGTATAAGAAAAGGTTTGGAAAGTAAATTTAAAATAAAATATTTTACTTTTAAAGTTTGTTTTAAACTTTTCAAAATTCTTGAATCGTTGTGATAATATTTAATTTTTATAGTTTAAAACATGGCTATCGGTATTGAGGGAAATTTAAAAAATTAAATCAGTTAAAATAAATAGAATTCTAATTTAATTGATATAATTAACTATGAGTTGTAAAGTAATAATATATTAACACAATACTTTCAAAATATTATTCATTTGGTTAAATATGTTTTTATAAGTAAAAATTATAATTGTTTTCTTTTCAAAATTTTGATTTAATTTAGTTTATTAATTTTAGAAATATATAAATTTAATTTTTTGACTAAATTTTGTTTGTTTTATTTAATATTTTAAACATGGTTAAAGTAAAAGTACGTGAAATGGTATAAATAATTTTAATACTATTATGAAATATATTTAAAAAATTAAATAAATTTAATTAAATTTAATTAGAATAGTAAAATTTATATATTTCTAAAATTAGAAAATTGGATTGAATTAAAGTTTTGAAGATGGAAGAATTCCAATTTTTATTTAATAAAAATTATTTCACATCAATAAAATAATATTTTGTGAAAAATTAACATTTAACTTAATTTTAGAATAAAAAATCTTTATATTTTTAAGTTAAGAAAAGATATTATAGACCTATTTTATAATAATTTGATATATAAATTTTATTTACTTTGTCATATTACTAGTTAAATATATATATATATATATATATATATATATATAATATTTATTTTAATAAGTTTTTTGTTGGATAGTGTGACTTTTAAAATTATAAATATTTTCTTTTGGTATTTCATCACACTTATAAAAGTATTACACTCACATGTAATAGTAGAAGTGTAAAGATAATGTAATATATAAATATATATATATATATATATATAGGGGTTTGCTAACGCGCGTACGCCTGTTTTTCAGTTGGTACATTTTAGCAATGTGTACCGGATTTTAGTAGACAAAAATATCTCTATATATCATGAATTTTAAGTATTAAGGTTAAGGGTATTTTAATAATTTTGATTCTCAAAACTTAAAAAAAAAAAAAAAGAAACTCCCAAACCCTTACTCACCTCTCTCATTCCTCTCAATCCTTTCTCTTTCATCTCTCTCACTCCAACCTTTTCTCTGTCATCCCTATTGTAGTCCCAATTGAAAAAATCAGAAACACTTGCTTTTAAACAATTTGCCTTTGTAAAGGGTTGAGTCATTGAGATATTTACCTTCAGGCAAAGGTTCATTCAAGATCTTTTCAATTTCATCATCTTCCCTAATTTCTCTAATTTCATCATCTGCATATGTTGAATCATCATCTCTAAAAAAACCCTCCAGGCCAATTACCAATTCTTTCGGATGTCATTATGCTTGTGAAAATTAGATAAAATTATATAAGACAAAAATTATAAAATGAAAATTCATTATAAAGTCATTTTTTTT